TTGGGGTGGGCTCTAGGTCCTTGAAGCTGTCTGTCTCAGGTGAGCTCAGTTAGATAGCCCTGCTCCACCATAGGTCTTTAGCTGTCCATGGGACGAGAACAGACAACATGCCCCCTCCCGCCTCTAGGCTGCACGCCCAGCCGCCAACATATGCTGCCCACATGCGGGGAGGGTGTGTCTCAGTTGGGGGCACAGGTCCCCACCCCACCCTTAGCTCTGCTCACACACTGACAGGTTTGGCACTGGTGGAGGCAGAGTGAGAACAGCCAGCTGGAGCCCTGGAGGGGGATGGGAGTGGGGCATGGCAGCATGGAAACTCATCTGGACAGTGTTGGGAGACAGGGCTGGCTGGGAGCCCTGCCCTCTTCCTCAGCCCCATCTCTTCCACGGAGAAGTGCAGGTGTTGGGGGCTGGGCTAGTTGGCCCTCAACGTGTACAGCATTTGCACCACACTTGTGCTGGGCTCTCTGCGGAAGGGATGATCCCACTGCAGAGCCAGAACAGTAGCAGGACACGGGACCAGACCCTGGCCACACTTTTGCTCTGGTAGACTGACAAGAGATGAAATGTTCTGGTCACCTGTGCTGACTGGAACTCTGACTGCAAGGGAGGCACCCATCATAGAAGACGTCTCCACTTCCTTTAGTGTCCAGGAAGCCGCAGCCCTAGTGCAGTGGTTTGAATGAGGAGCGCCCTCAGAGGTTCATATATTTGAATGTCTGGTTCCCAATTGGTGGACTGTTTGGGAAGGATTTGGTGGAGGGGGTGTGTCACTAGGGGTGGGGTTTGAGGTTTGAAAAGCTCACACCAGGCCCAGTCTCTGTTTTTTGCCTCCCCCTTGCTGATAAGATAGAGGTAAGCTTTCAGCCACTACTTCAGCGCCATGCCTGCCTGCCTGATGATCATAGACAAACCTTCTAAAACCAGAAGGAAGCCCCAAATGGAATGCGTTCTTTTGTATGCTGCTTGGTTATGGTGTCTCTCTACAGCAATGGAACAGCAACTAAGACACCTCAGCAGGGGCCTCACAAAGACTGAGGCCTGCCATTGGCCAGCCTCTCTTGTTGGAGCTTGGAGCTGGGTGATGGCCCTGATCCTTGATGTGTAGCCAATAAGGAATCTTTATGAAACTTTGTTCATGGTGGCTTCAGCTAGTATCAGGTGGGGACAGGGCTGGAGATAACAGGCTGAGGGGTACAAGGGTGAGCATTGGTACCTGAGATTGGAGGTACCATGAACTTAACTACCAGGCAGGCCCAGTCTCCAAGGACTGTGATAGGAATAAATCCCTTTGCATGTCTCTCAGCCACCAGGCCTTGAGTGCAGTGGATACCAGAGAAGCCTTGGCTGGATGAGAACATGGCTCGATGGGAAGGACGTTTACCTAAGTATGTTCATAGTCAGCATGACCGAGTGTTTTCCTTAGGCATAGGACATGAACACACAGCTCCAGGCACACTCATTCCCCATCCACCTCCAGAATGTAGGTCTAATGCTATAACAGAAAACAGAGGAAGAGCAGCATTTGTCTGAGTGGATGTCCAATGCCAACCCCCTACTATTCTACCAGGAGATCGCTGACCCTCAGGCACCAGCCAGCAGCCTAGCACAGGCCAGGGGTTGACTACTGGCTGGGTTTAAGATGACCTGGCCTCTTGCCTGATCCTCTGGGACCCAGAGAACTATGTCTTGACTGTGTGTGTTCTGAACCAGCAGGTGGACAGCGGAAACCCTTTGAATACATGCCCAGTGGAGAGGAGTCCCCTATAGGCTTCCAGAACAGCTTGGATTTGTAGATCAGAAGAGGCAGGTCTCCCAGCCCCATCCTCCTGGCTTTTGTAGGAGCCATGCTCTGATGTCCAGGCTCCCAGTAGTTCAGATTCTCACCCACCCACATTCAGATATAAGCATGCCCTTTGTATCTGGCTCCAAGAATGGATACCCTCTGTCCTCCAGCTGCGTCGGTGTGGCCTGAAGTTGGCATCACTACCCCATGCCAGTTCCCAGTTCACTGAATGCTCTGTCCCTGGGCAGCCCCAGGACCTGGCCTCAGCCACCAGGGGCAGCAGCCCAACTGGTACAATGCAGAGGACAAGAATACATGCCTCGCTGTAGTCACAAGAGCCCTGCTATGTGCTAGGAGAGCAGGCAGTGACTGGGAGAAAGCAGCAGCGAGCCCCCATGGCAGTGCTGTCCCTGAGGTGGTCCTTGGTGGGCTCCCACCATCTGTGCTCTGGAGGTGGAGGTAGCGGGAAGCTGTCCTTGCCCGGCTTCTTTGCATGGGTCCCTGTGCCATTTTCCTTCAGTGGTACAAAGCCCATCCCTGTGAAGCTGGCCCGTGGGCTGTGTGCACAGAACCTCCTTGTTTCTCCCTTACTCAGTCGTTCCCTGCACTCGGCTCCTGGGGCATGTGGGGGAGGAATAACTAATGACAGGCAGCACCCTGCCCCCAAGCCCTTTGTTCATTCACTGGGTGATAGATACTTCCTGGGTGCTGTTGAGGGGCCAACCCTGCACTGGGGACAAGAGGGCGAGACACTCAGCCCCTCCCTCCAGGAAGCACACCCAGTATCATCACTGGCAGGTGGAGAAGCAGGGGATTGTCCAATCACAGTGGGTCAGCAGGTGGATCTCCTTTGGAGGTCAGCCTGGTCTACAGAGGTAGTTCCGGGACAGCCAGGACTGCACAGAGAAACCCCGGGGGAAGGGGTAGATGTCAAGAACATTTCTAAAGAAAGGCAGTGGTTAACAGTTGATGCAGGAGGATTGCTTTAAGTTTGAGGGCAGCCTGGGCTACCAAGTGAGACCGCCTTAGGAAGGAAGGGTGGACTGAAGGACTAAAGCTTAGCGCTGACAGTGGCCTCTAAGTGTGGGGAATGCCTGAAGCTGGTGACTGTCATGTGGCAGGGTTGAGGCAGAATAAGAACTGTGCTCTGCTGAGGATCTAGGCTGTGGGCATTTAAGACACTCAGTAGTTTATACAAAGGAGAGGCCGGATCAGGTGAGCATCCGGGAATATCCTTGGCTTTAGGAGAGAGGGAAGGAGACCAGACTGGATCCAGTGCCAAGGGACGGAACCAGTCTGGCCTAGGCAGAAAATACCCCTTTTGCCTTATGAGGAACCCACCAGAGGTCAGAATGGCAGCCATGCCAGTGGAGGCTGTCCTGATCATGCAGCTTCTGTGAAACCCATCCAGTAAAGACCTCTGTAGAGGGAGAGAGGAATGTCTCCCCCAGGCAGGCCCTCAGACCCCAGACTCCAGACAGTGCCCTATGAGCTGGATGCTGGCAAAGCTGCTTCTGTCCCACTGCCCGCCAGCATCCATGGGCCAGAGCCAGGCCGCAATGAACAGCCATCCTGCGTCATCCCCAGAAGAGTGGTGGAAGCTGGACTCAGGCCTTGGACCCTTTCACAAACTCCCTGACCTTCTAGCTACCCATCATACGGTCAGGCCCTGGCTGTTTCTTTCCTTCTCTGCACAGGCCCCAGTCAGTGAATGTGAAGCTAGGCCCTTCCTATCACCATGCCCTGTGGAGAGAGATCCCCTGGTCCCTTCTAGTCCAGGGCCTTGGTAGCTGCAGGGAAGCCCCTTCCCTCCAGGACATGACCTCCAGGTTTTAGCTATTCTCAGGCAACTGAGCCACTTGCTTCAGGCTGGGTGGAGGCTTGAGGGGCAATAATAATCTACAGCAGGTAGACACAGTAGTTCCTGGGAAATGTGAGTCAGGCCCTGGGTAATCCCAGCAGTATGTCCTTTAGAGGTAGGAGGTTTACAGAGGCTGGCCTTCCTCCTGCCACACCCCAGTTGACTACTTAATGTGAAACCATGAAACCTGGGGACAAATGGGAAGGAAGGGGCTTTGTGGTGGCTCTGGCTCGCAGCCCTGGCCAGGCTGCCTGTGGCCACTGGGATGAGGCCCACACATCTTCAGAGGACTGGGAAGATGAGCCCACCCGGGCCCCTCCTGTGCAGAGTTCTCCTCCCCAGTATTATTGTCTACTTAAGAGTCCATTCGGCTTCAGCACCAACTGTTTCCAGCCAGGTGTGGCCAGAGAACAGGTGAAGGCTTAGTCGTGGTCCTCAGCATCCCAGTCCAGGCTTCGCCTGGAGCCCCTGCATCCCTGTTAAGTAACTGGGCATCACATGGCACCCCAGAGCATCAGGGAAGCGTTCTGATTGTCAGTACCCTAAGAATTCCCACAAAGCATGTGTACCAGGCCAGCATCCCAATTGCCAATGGGGTGCTCTCCCTAGGTGACCCTTCTGCTAGATGCAGGTGGGAGCCAGGGCTAGTGGTTGTGTGTGTGTGTGTGTGTGTATGCACGCGCACATGTGCCCTAGGCCTGCAGAGAGGGGCACAGTGGGAGCCACAGCCCTGGCTGCCTCACAGGGCAGAGAGCAGGGAGGTTTCTTCAGGGGTAAGGTATATTTCTTTCACTGGCTGTGGTTCTAGGGCCAAAGTGTGTTTTTTGACTCTTGTTTCAGAATCGGGGTTTGTTTCTTAGTTTCTGGGTTCAGGGCTAAAATGTTTCTTTCACTGGCTTGGGTTTTAGATCCAGGGTGTTTTTTTCACTGGCTTTGGATTCAGGGTCATGGTGCTAGATTTCGTGCTCAGGGATTGGTTGGTTTTTTACCAAGGGCTTGTGTGATGGAGGCTTGACATCCAGTTGTGACCATGTGGGATGTGGCAGGACCTTCAAGAACATCACTGAGTTACTGTTTTCCAAGGGTTGGAGGTGGTTCTTGTGGGTGCTGAGAGGAAGAACCTGCATAGAGTAGTGAGTGTTTAAAGCTTAAGCCTGACCCCCCGAATCACTCTCCTGTACACACTCCTCCCATGATGATGTCCTTATGCTCTCCATGAGGCCTAAGTGAAGGACTAATGTGGAATTTTCAGCCTCTAAAACATTGGAGCTACACAAATGTCTTTTCTTTATATGATGACAAAAAAATGGACAGTATCCTACTAGACAAATAATCTGCAGCTTTGTCCTCCAGGCCTGGTGATGAGCATCATCCGGAAGTGAAGGCTGATGGGTACGTGGACAACCTTGCCGAGGCTGTGGACCTGCTGCTGCAGCACCTGGACAAGTGACAGCCCTCCAGAGACAGTGGACAAGTGTACTACCCTGCGCCCATGCTCCTTTCCACCACAGTGTCCCTCTTCCCATACTTCCAGGCCCCAGACTACCCAGATCTCTGCTAGTCCTGCCCTCTGCCCACTGCTGGTATGGGCAGGTGCAGACAGTTCTGGGATGCTTGTCCCTGGGCCAGAGCCAGCCACACCCTTCCACAACCTCCCTCAACTAGCTCCCTGTCACATCCCTCCCTCCTCAGCCTCTGGACAGAGATTTGTTCCCTACCCACATGACCTTCTCCCTTTCCTGGTCCATGCCATGTTTCCCATAGTGACATCCAGGAAGGTAGAAGAGACCTGTCAGACCTCCATAAAATGGAACCCTCAGACATGGGCTGGAAGGTTCCTCTGAGTCCCTGAATTCCTTATCACGGTTGTCATGTGGTCTTTCATTGGCACCATCCAATTGCATGAGGCCTGTTGACTCTTCTTTGAACTCTCTGATGTGAGCAAGGAGCCTACAGAAACCCAGGGGCCTGCTTCCTGTACAATCCCAGAAGCCCAGAGCTGAGCCAGCCTGCCCACCATTCACAGCCCTGCCTGGCCCCAGTCAGAGTGAGTAATTGGCACTCTGCCTCCTCCCCCCCCCTCGGGAAACAGTGCCAGCCCACTGCTCTTCCCCTATAGTTACCTAGACATGGACTAGGGCAGCTCTCAGGAAACTGAAGACTGCCTTCCCACAGCAGAAATGTCCATCTCCACAGTCAAGGCTGCAGGCACAGAAAGTACCATGATGTTGGGATGGACAGACTTGAGTGTGTTGTGCCAAGTGCACAGAACAAACTAATGGCTCAGTAAGCTCGGTATCAACAGTCTGCCTTTGACTCAGCTTTTGTTGGGAAGGGTCCAAAGTGTGTAGAGAGAATGGAGGCAGGTTCTTAGGTTCCAACCCAGTTCCTGAACAATAGAAGGGCAATGCTATGGAATGTCTTACCAGCTCTGACCTTTTTAAGAAATTAAGATATGGAGACTCATGGTGGTCAAGGAGAGTTTCTTCATCTCCAGTGGAAGAAGACAGACCAGGGCAAACACCAGCCCTACCTCCTATATTCATTCATATTTTTAAAGACTTTATTTTTAATTCTATTTGTGTGTGTGGGGGGGTGTGGACAGGCATAACATAGGTACATAGGAAGTCAGAGGAATAGCTTGTTAGAGTTGGTTCTCTCCTTCCACCTTTACACAAGTTCTGGGGCTCGAACTCAGATCATCAGGCTTGTGTGGCAAGCACCTTTACCAGCTGAGTTCTCATTACTACAACAAAATGCCAGAGGCAGGCTAAGTGTGGTGAGGTTACATTCTTGCAATTAAAGAGGCAGAAGCAGGAGGGTTGTCACAAATTGTAGGTCAGCTTGACCTACCTGGCAAAACTGTCACAAAAAAATGATAACAAACAAATGAAAAAAAAAAAAAAAAAAAAAAAAAAAAAAAGGAAGAAAAGAGTGGATTGTATAGCTCAGTTTGAGAAGCTGGAGGGCACAGCATCAGCCTCAGTTAAAGTCTCATAGAGACTATAAGCATTGCCGTGGCTCAAATGGAAAGGGATTCTGGCACTTGGGAGCCAAAGAATACTGAGTGTTACAGCTCAGATGGAAAAGGATTCTGGCAATGGGGAGCCAAGGAATACCACAGGTCACATTAAGCACAGCAGCTTACAGCCCTGCTCCAGGGAAAGGCTTCCCCAGTGTATATGCTCTGCCCCAGCAGGGGAGGGTTTCCCCAGAGAAGTTGTTACAGTTCTGCTCTGGTCCCCAGAGTGTAGAGTGTAACAACTCCACTTTCGTTAGGGGAAGGTTTCCCTGGCCCGCTCTGTTCCACTCTGGCTCAGGCCAAAAATTGTTACTTCTCTCCTCCACTTCATTCCCGTGAAGGAAGGTTTCACCCAAACCTCATTCAAGAGATTTTTTTGTGAGGGAAGAATCCAGGAGAGTGACTGCTACTGCCAGGGTGGAGGAGGACAGCCAGACAGCCACAAGCTGAACAGGCACAGGGTTTATTTAGGGCTTCTTGGGGGAGATTACCAGGGTGGGGATTGGTCAGGTGTCAGTCTCTGAGCTCAGATTAGCTAGATCAAATGCTCAGGGATTGGTTGGTTTTCTGCTCAGGTTCAGGGTCAGATTTGGCTCTGCTTTCACTGGTCCTTTTTTAGCCTTTTGGCTCTCATTGTAGGACCAGGGTGTATTTCTTTCACTGGCTCTGATTCCAGGGACAAAGTGTGTTTCTTTGGCACTGGTTTCAGGGTCAGGGTGCATTGCTTTGGCTCTGGTTATAGGGCCAAAGTGTGTTTTTTTGGCTTTGCTTAGGGTGTGTTTCTTTGGCTGGCCTTTTCCCCCTACAAAGACCTCTTGGAACCTGCCATGGTGAGATGGGGACGACAGAGGGCTGTCCTTTTGAGGACACACTCCCCATCTGACCTAACTTCCAAGTTTTGTTTGTGTGTTTTGCCCCTTCCCTAGCTGTCCTGGAACTTGAACTATAGACCAGGCTAGCCTCTAAATCAGAGATTTGCCTGCCTCTGCCTTCTGAGTGCTGGGATTAAAGGCACACACTACCAACACCCAGTAGACTTTCTGCACTTTAAAGGGTCCCCCCAGCTCTGGATACCACCACCTCCTAGGGGTTCAAGCCTCCAGCTTTTGACTCTGAGGACAACACAGCTGTCTCCAACCAGTGTCCCACTACACCTGACCTGGCAATAGTGAGCTGTGCTGTCCACAATGGGCAAGATAAAGGGTAGTGGCCTTCTCTGCTGGGCTTCTGGGGCAGTACTCTCTCTACCCCAAGTGTCCGGTTTCAGAGTCCGCTGAATGGATAGTTGATATTGCTGTTTCCATCCCCAATGAACCCAGAAGCCACTGATGAATCTCCAGAGAGGTCTCAGAAAGAGGTCAGCTAAGGAATTGGCTCAGTGTGTAAAACTAGGAAACAGCTCACTGAGAAGAAAGTTAGCTGCAAGAAGCTTCAGTCATTTGCTAGCCATCAAAGCGTGAGGACCTGAGTTGACCTCCTAGAGCTCAGGTTAGAAAAGAGTATACCAGCTGGATGGTGGCGGCACACATTTTTAGTCCCAGCACTCAGGAGGCAGAGGCAGACAGATCTCTGTGAGTTCAAGAGCTAGTTCCAGGACAGCTTCCAAAAACACAGAGAAACCCTGTCTCGAACAACAAACAAACAAAAAGCGTGTATCAGTAAGTACTTGGAGGTCTGGCCACTGTCCAGGCTGGGGCGTTTCTTTTCTTGGCTTTCTTTCTATGCACATTTTGGGAAAGGGCTGCTCTCTAGTGTACAAAGGGCCAGCATTGACCTGCTCACAGAGAGAAGCCCATTGGGTCACCATTCCTGTGATAGACAAGGGGCCTGCTTGATGATTGGGAACATCCCTGGACCCAAAGGGTGACTTGTTTTGTTCTTGTGGCTCTAGGGAATGAACCCAGCACCTGACACATGCTACCAAAGACTAACCTATATTCTATATCCTTAGCCCGTGGTTTTTTTTTTTTTTTTTTTTTTTTTTTGTAGTATCCCAAGCTGGCTTTGAATATGCAATCCTCCTGCTTCAGCCACATGTGTATTGGGGTTACAGGTGTGTGTCATTACTCCAGGACACCTCTTCTTTCTTTTAAAATGTTTAGTTTTTGTTTAAGAATGTCCTGCCTGCATGTGCCTGTGAACCACATGCAGGCAGTAGCCAGGAAGACCAGAAGATGCTACTGGATCCCCTGGAACAAGTTACAGAAGGCTGTTAGCTGCTCTGTGGGTGCTGAAGACTGAATCTGGGGCCTTTGGTTCTTACCACTGAGCCATCTCTCCATCCACCACCTCCCCCCCTTTCTTAAGTCGCATGCTCACATAGCATTTCGTTTGACGTTGGATCCGTTGTCAAAAAAGCAAAGCAGACGAGTATTCCAGGATGTCTCTTCCAGATGAGGACACTGGCCACAGCGGAGCAGAGGGTCTGGGAGAACATTCCAAGGCCAGATGATAGGGACCAACATTGGGTGACAGAAATTAAATGCTCTCCACTTGGGTCCTCAGGATGGCAGACACAGTGCATCTCCTGAGCTTTAGTTACCCAGGTCTCCAGTTTGGAGGGTGAGCATGGGGCTGTGTACATTCTCAGGTGAACTGTGTGCCCTAGTGTCTCCATAGCCCAAGAATCAGAGTTCTGAACTGTGCTGCCCTCTGCGGGGACAGAGGCCCTGAGCTGACAGCCCAGCTATACAGCCTTCAGTGCTGCTCTGTGGAGAAGGAAGTTGGCTGCCCAGGCCCTGCTGGACTCTTCTTGGCAACCTTGTCTCTCAGCCAGGTCAGCTTCTTCTCTTGCTCTCACCTCAGAAATAACCAAGGCAGCATGCCCCACGCCAGTGAGAGTCTCTGGCTCCTCCTCTGAGGCTGTGAAGGTGGCTGTAGCTAGCCCTTTGTAGAAGTTGTTCCCACAGTCACTGTACACTGCATCCTCCCCCCCCCCCCCCAGGGCACAGGGACAGAATGTCCACCCTGTGGTCCTCCCAGTCCAGAGCCAACACTCTCATGGGCAAGGGGGGACAGGAGAAACTGCTGGTTCGCTGCACCCAACAAAAACCACACAGTCATGCCCAGGCAGCTGGGGGTTGGACCAGGAAGCTTTATTTACACAGTAAAAGTAACAAGCAAATTCCTGAGACTAGAGCCTGTGTGGGAGGGAAGGCAGGCAGCGGTGCATGGAGGGGCTTGTGAAAAGACCCCCGCACAGGCTGCCAAGGACTGCTGCTCTGGTGGGGGCCGCTGACTCACCACACCAGTCACCATACTACCTGAAATAGTACCACCACCGCCACCTGGCTGGGACAGCACACATGGTCCTAGCACAGCCTGCCCGCCCATCTGTCTCTGACCCCTGGGCAATCCCCCCTGCACTGACAATGCAATTCATTTGCCAATGAGACTATGCTAGGAGGTCAGGCTATCCTACCTAGGCTACAGGAGCTTCATCAGTCTGCAATTTTAAAATATCTTTCTCTTCCTCCTTAAGGGGCCTGGCACCAAGGGGAGGGGTCTGACCAGCAGCATGGATGTGGCAAGGGGCAGCATCGTGGGCTGCATGGGCAGAGGGTCCCTGAGCCCTGGCACCTGGCTTACATTTTAAGTGGCCACCATTCAAGTAACTTTAACCACATGAGTGGAAATGGGGTGTAGGATCCAGGGGTGAGTTCTTACTGCTGTGAACCTTGAATGAGCCCAAGATAAAGAATGCCATCTGTCTGCATAGGCGACCCATCTGGGAATTGAGGGGGGGGGGTGTTCCTGTTTAATATGGACCTTTCTTTTATTTAACTTTTCTTTCTGCATACAAATTTAGAAAACTCTCCTGCTACCAAAAAAAATAATAATAATAAAAATAAAATAAAATAAAAAAAATAAAGTAAGGCTTTCTGAGAACAAACCGCTGCATGTGTGGGCAGAACAAGTTCTTGGGACTGTGCATGAGGAAGCCCATGGGTGCCGACCTCCACCACCCATGAGTAAGGCAAGCGTGGGCAGTCATGTAAACTGTCTAGGCTACTACCCTGAACTCAGGTCAGGTACCTGCAGAGAGCAACTCTGTCAGTTCAGTGGCTTTTGGAGCGATAGATGTGATAGATGGCTGGCCCTCTCCCCTAGTTGGCTCTGGTGGAGCCGCACCACAGCCTTGCTCTAGACCTTTGGGCTCCCTAGGCAAGTGGGTAGCCAAGTACATGCTCAGCTTCTTTGGGGGATGACACTCACAGGCAGGATGAGGAAAGTAAGGCCTTTAATGTTGCCCATATTGAAGCCAGCGATTGCTGAAGCCACAGTGCTGGGGGGGGGGGCGGTGAACCGGTCTGATTGCTGCCTGTGGCACCAAGCATGTAGGAGCCAGAGGGAACCTCCCAGGGGAACCTTCCTCCAAGAGATCCAAGACCAGAGGTGTTGGGGCCAGTGAATGAGTCTGTCTGGGTAGCATGGCTGCTGAAGGACGAATGGGCACCTTCTAGGTAAGACCTACTTTGTTCAGTTAAAACAATGTCAGAAAGCAAACGAAGAGGAGCACAAAGGCTCCTGCCATCTTCCCTGGCTACCATGCTGAGGACTTGGACTGAGGCCTTAGTGGGACAAGGGCAGTCCAGAGGGGCCTGAGGAAGCTGGAAAGGGCCAGTCCCTACCCCAGGGAATGACGCCCTAGAGGGAGGAAGGATGAAGTTGCCCTTTAGCCATCAGGCTGAAGGAAGACAGTCTAAAGACAAGTCATCCATTACAACAGCCTTATGACACACCCTCCACCAGGAGTTTCTGGTCACAGTCCACAGGAGAGGCAGCTGGCAACTAACCTACCCTTTGGCCTTAGCAGGCTGTGTGAAATGGGCCAGGGGACAGGGCCCAGATTCTGCATCCCTCGTGAGGGGTGGCTTTAGGGACTTGTGAGGCTACTCCAGATCCAGAGCCTCTCACTGTGGGTTTTCAGGGCACTGGTATTTGCTTCCCACACTCAACTACCTTCCTCCAGGTTTGCTCAGAGAAAGTATGGCCTCCGTGACCCACCAGGCAGGGCTCACATGCCATGCCTTCACCAGCTTTCTACTTTGGCTTTCCAGTGCCTCCAAGTCCCAGTGGTGTCCCACCTTCACATGTACCGACCATACTGCCCAACCTGGGTCTGATTTTAAAGAAACATTGCCTACACATCAGAACTTGAGCCTTCCTTCTGATTGACTGACAAGTTAAAGTTTAGACAAAAGGTTCCCATCAAGGTCTTTCTTTAGGAGAAAGATAGCCATTTGGTCTCAACCAGTGGAGGATGGAACCTCAGAGGGTAGGCACAGCAGAGTAACTACAAAAGTGCCTACATCACATGTCCATGAACTCAAGAGAATGCACCAGTTATTTTTAGCCGTATGGGAAAACAAGCCACTTGTATAAGCCAGCCCACTTGCTATTGTCTGCAGCAGATGCCAAGTTTGCTAGAAGCCAGAGTCTCAGAGTGCAGAACCCTGAAGCATGTCTGCAGGAAAGACTCTGGGAGCTGCCTCAACCGATGCACTCTGGGAACTATGCTGGGAGTGAGGAGCAGCAAGGGGGATTATGATTCAAGCCCATGCTGTGGCTGGGCCGCTAAGGCTCACATCAGTGGACTGGGGGGAGGGGGTGTCTTGAAGCTGACGGTAGTACACTTTCATTAAAGCCAGCAGTGTCTGTGAACAAGCAAAAATGTGCTAGGAATGCTGTGGAGACTCGAAGGCCCCCAGCCTAGGTTGCTACAGAGGGATGCCTACAAAGTAGCCAGCCTGCAAAGCAGGCAGCAGGCATCCCTCTGCCCAGGAATGTACACAGGACCAAATCTCCTGCACCTGCTAGTAGTTCCTGAGGACACTATGAAGGTCATCTTGTCACTGACATCTCTACACTCAGCAGAATCCACTGAACTCAGCCCTCAGGGACTGGGGAGAGTAGGAAGGCTGCCAGTACCAGCCTTGCCAAGGCAGCCCCTGTTCTGGCAGCGGTATGGGTGATTCTTGGTGCCACGGGAGAACTCATGGGCCCACTTTTCAGTCAACACAACTACCAAATGCCTAGTATGGATGGCTTCTGGTCATCCCTGACCTATCCCTGGCCTGGAAAAATGGGACACGGATTATCCCCAGAATCCCTGCACAGTGCCCCAAATGGATTAAGGCCACACGGTCTGGTGTCACTACAGGAGGCATCTCCCGAACCTTCCTGAGCCTGGGGCAGGGAGACCCGGGAGAGAAGGCACGGAGTAAACTAAGTAAAAGGAGGCTTTGGGCAACTCCCCAGATAGAACCTGAGCGAGGCCACAGCAGGCTCAGCCACCTGGCACCCTGCTTGAGGGATGCGGCTGGCCCAGCCCTACTGGAGAATGGCTACCCAGCACTCGATGAGGAACAAAGAGGAGACCAAACCAAAAGCCTGTTCTTGGGCTACAGTAGTTCCATGGAACTGGCAGGAGGCCAGCTGTTGCCTGTGAGGTGTGGCCAAGTTGCCTTCACAAATTTGGGCACTACAGGGTGACAGCTGCTCCCTGGGAAGCGGGTGGGCTCCCTTTTGGGAGCTTTTTCCCCAGGCCCAGGAGCTAGGGTCCCCCTTGGAGTGACCACCTAAGGCCTGGAGGAAGGCCCATCCATGGCAAAGCCTCTGCCACAGGCCTCGGTCCACAGCCGCCTCAGTTGTTCTCTATCTGCTCAATGTCCAGCTCGCCGTCCAGAGAGCAGAGGCTGTTCGTGCAGGCTCCAAGGTCCTGCCAGGCTGTGGCCAGCTCCCCCTTCCTGCAGCAACCCTCATCCAGACTGCAGCCATCCGACTCCTCGCAGGATAGGTCCTCCTGGCAGGGGATGTGATCATCAAAGGAGTGGGGAACAGGCTCTGGAACGGGGGTCCCGGCAGGGGTCCTGCCCCCTGGGTTGGAGGCTGACAGCAATGCGGTCCAGGATCGGGTATTGCTGACAAGGGCAAGGGGGCTCTGAGAGCTGTGGTCTTCCACCCCCATGCTCAGGCAACTGAGGCTGCTGAAGGTCTGACAGTTCTGTGGAAGAAGAGGTATACTGGTCAGGGAAGGGCCCAGTCTCCTTCTGGAACCTCAGTCCACACACCCCACAATGCCCCACAAAGCTTGGCTGGCACTTACTCTGCTGGGCTGTAGCAAGTCTACTATGTGTGAGACCAATCCATAAAGAAGTAGCCCTGGCTACTCAACAGGTATACAACTGCAGACAGTCAGTACATAAAGGGCAAACCTCTGATGTGACCGGCACTGAGGCAGGTCCACTTGTGACATTTCCAGGAGACCTCAGACTCTGGCAAGGGTGGCCTGGCAACAAGGTGTCTGATCCTTGCTAAGGCCATTTCATCCCAGATGTGCAGTCAGCTCTAGGATAATGACAATACCTGCTATGATGTGACTGCCCTGTCAGACAGCAGCTACTAATACTGTGTCATTCACACTTTCTGTGCAGATACATTTTTTTCCTGAATATTTTTTTTTTTTTTAATCTGAGGCTTTGACTGAGTCTAAGAAGACAGTTTGGGGAATGTGTGAAAACAGAAACTTGTTTTTCCTGGTGGTGGTGTTCACGGTTTAATCTAGAGCTTCATGTGTGCTAACTATGCCCTCTACCACTCAACTATGCCTCCAGCCCCAACATGCATACTTATGGCCACAATGTATTAAATAAAACCAGGGAGTGAGTGACCCAGATCCCACATGTCCTTTCAGAAACTCAGACCAGGGTGGTAGTGAGCTCGCTGACACATGCCACCTTTCTTATGGGAAGGGGGCTGAGTCAGATGGAACCATCACTAGGCTACATTGCTGTCATATCCCCTACCCCACCCCCTTCCCATGACCAGCAACAGGCAGGGCAGTGCTGGAGGTCTTTATCTGCTCTCCCCATTGGGTATTCAGAATCACCCAGGGACCTGGTTTAATAGGAGTTCTGGGTTCCCGCCTGCCTGATACTGAAAATGCTTTGTCTAGAGGGCAGTGGCTTTGACCCACACTGATCTGCAGGGGGAGGCCAGGCTTCTAGCCCTCACCAGTTGGGGGCCCAGGCAGCCTCAGGTGAAAGAGATGTGATAGTCCCCACCTAAACTGCTGGACCTCCAACAGCCCCAGAGAGGACGTGTGGCCACACAAGAGCCCCTCCCTGGTGGGCACCAGGTCTAACTGAAGACAATATGGAAGCCAGTCCTTTTAAAGCCACTGAGCAGGGTGTCAGCCCTGACACCGTACAGTGGCGCCACTGCACAGCTCAGCTGTGGGGCTCCTAAGCAGACACGGGTAGAGGCTGTGGCAGTGAGGAACACCCGTGGCCTGCTGACTCCCCTCAAAGGCCCTGCAGCAACTGGAGAAAGACGAGCAGGCTTTGGCTTCTCCCCAGTGCATAGGAACCTAAACAGAGCCGCTGCTGATGGAAGGCACAGACCTGTCCCAAGGGCCCCAATCCTGTCGAAGGCTGAAGGGTTTTATTCTCTGGCAGCCACAGTAAATGGGCTATTAGAACAGGCTCAACAGACAGAAGATAAAGGGCGTCCTCTCTAGGGGTAGGTGGCTGTGCCCGTCAGTCATAGGCACACATTGTCCTGACACCCTTCTGATAGCTTTGCTTTTCTTGGAATCTTTCAATTAAAGCAGGAAGGAGGGGCCGACATGATGGCTCAATAGATAAAGACACTCGCCACCAAGGCTGATGACCTGAGTTCAATCTCTAGAACCTCCATGGTGGAAGGGGAGAACTGACTCCCAAAAGTTGTACTCCAACTTCAATAAACTCATCACAGAGCACCCCCCCACACACACATACAATGTACCCAATAAATAAATACTTAGAAATAAATAAAAGAGAAAGAAACAGGCTGAGGTGCTGAGGGGCTCGGCTCTGGGTTTCAGGAAAGAAGGTTGGGCCACCTCCTGGTCCCGAGGTCCAGGTCCAGGCCAGAAGACCCCACAGCCACAGAATGCATTCCTTCCTTGCATAGCAATACTTGGATACGCCTCGGGGGTTCCTTCTGCCTTTCAGGCTGATGGCCTGAGCTGAGTGAGACAGAGCATGGCACAAGAGATAAGGCTGGCTCAGCACTGGCAGGGACTTGTGGGCCAGACTGCATGGATGGAAGAGGCCTAGGGATGAGGCTATGACTAGTTAAGGACTCGGGAGCCCACAGAGCTCAACCCACCCTCCCGCATCCCTGGCTATGCAGTTTATCTTTTTTGCCTCAATAGGAGTGTAAGAATAAACAGCAATGTATAGTTAGCACCCGAGTGTCTCAGTTCTCGCAGACCGTGCTGGATGGGTGATGGCAACAGTACTTGAGTATCCCCACATCTATTCAGTGTGCCAGATGCCAGAACATGCCTCATTGTTCACTGTGAGCTGTAAAGTGAACAAAGGCCGGGGCCAACAGAACCGTGCTCTCCGTCTTGATCTTGCCCAACAGGTGATCTAAGGTACAGCTAATAGGCCCCAACTTTGTGGTCAGTGTATCAGCATGTGTGGTCAGACTGTGTGTTCCAAAGTCACGTCAGTGCCTAAAGCATTAAGAAGTAGGGCCACTGGGGGTGCTTAGGTCATGGGGTACAGTCCTCATTAAGTTGGGGGTCAGTGCTGTAAGACCTAAGGAAGGACATCTCCCCATTCATCATGTAAGAATGACGAGAAGGCATCACCTGGGGTTAAGCAATTCCTAGCAGATGTGACCCCTTTAGTGCAGGCACACCCCCTCCACCCCCGCTTCTAGAATCGGAAGTCCACTCTGCTGTTCCTTCCTTAGTGACTGTCTCTAAGAGCTTGATGCTACAGTGAAAAGACAAGCTGTTATGCTGAGCATGGGACACAGCCCATAGTAGGGTCCTGGGGACCCATTTGCTGGACCTAAAAAGCGCCATGGTCCCACCATCCATTTCAGAAGCCGGGTCAGCCTTATATGGCATCACAGCTTTAGGAAAGCTAACTCAGCCCCTGAATGTCAGTCTGTCTGATAAATATGGGTGGCCAAGGGCACCCTGGGGCCACCACTCTCCCAACTGTCTGTAGTAACTGAGACTTGCTCCATAGCATGGTGGGAAGGTACATGGTCTGGGTGGTGCATTTTGTCCCAAGCAAAGCACAGAACACCACAGAAATCCCCCACTATTTCTCAGTGTCGTCTATTTGTCCCTTCCCTGCCAAGCCAGTGCCACTTGGAAAACTTTGATGACTCAAAATTCAGTCATTTGGCCACAGTGAAACAAGAGCCACCACTGAATGCCCCATCATCTGGTGGCATGCCCCACCTGCCAGGGAATAATGTGGCTGCCACAGGGGGGGAGGTGATTGTTGTGTCCAGAATCCCATCTCTAGTAAGCCCACCCAGGCGGAGACACAGAGTTTACCCGTGCTCAGGCCTGCTGTATTCTCGGCATGCCTGCCTACCCTCTCCTAGCAGTTCAGGCTGCTCTCTCATGAAGAATGAGAGCTGTATGGGACTGTTGCTAGCCTGGAGGCCTGTACACCCTCAAAAAGGCTTTGGCGGGTGTGGGAGGGTGGGGTGGGGGTGGGGAGGACAGAATGGTGAAATTCAAAGAGCCACATGAACATATCATTTCAAATTGAAATTGCTACTCTAGGACATACTTTGCCTCACCCAACAACTTCTGTTCTTGAGGCCTGTGGATGGGCTCCCCACTTCTTACAGGCCTGCTTGGCCAACAAGCTCAGTGGGACTGTCCTTATGGCCTCAGGCTAATGGCCAGAGGCACTGAGCTCACTCTTACAATCCACAAGAAGGACTGTAAAACACAACCATGCCCAGAGAGCTTTTCTACCAACCCAAGCAGACCTCAGCTCTAGCCAGCCACAACAGAGGCCACTGACCACGCTGCTGTTCTAGCCTGGGTCTCTGGCTCAGCCCCCAGCCCCAGCCTCCTTGGGCCTGCTAATCAGAAAACACTGCTACCTCTTTTCCCAGTGCAGGGCCTTTCTCTCCATAGACTTGTTCTAGCATCTTCCTTCTGGATCGGAGACTCTGGGCTGAGAAGTGATGAAATCACCTTGTTCCTGGGATCCTTGCTTTCCTGGTATAAGCTGAATCCCAACTCCCACCCCCACCCCACCCGGAGAGAAACATGTCAACTCAACATACCCTCCGTCCCTGTTGCCTGGACAGGGTAACTGCCCTGCTAAGCCTTGTGCCAGATCAGCTCGTTCCCTTCTCCAGGTGCTATGGGCTAACATGTCAAGCATGACAGGAGACTCAGAGAGATCTTCTAAGCTACCAAACCATCTGTTTCCTCAGCAGTGACAAGGAAGGCTAAGTAAGGCCTGAGCAGAGCAGATGACAGCAAAGCCTCTTCAGGGAATATTGCTTGGGTGCCAAGGGCCCCAAGCTTATAAGCCCTGTCCCTCATACTTAGAAGTGGGCATCTGGGGACACAGACAGGCCAGCTGGTGGGGCGTGTATGCCTAAGAACAGATGGCACGGCGTCCTTCTCACCCTGTTGCAGGCCTCAGAAGAGGACAGGCAACCAAGATTCTAGAGCCACAGGCTCTGGGCTTCTTTGGTGCCCTGTGGTCTTGTTTCTGGCTTCTTACCTGGGAAGTGCACGGTTGGTTTTGATCTACCTGTTTCAGTGGGCTTTTTAAGGAATGCAAATGCAAGTGGAGGCAAACCGGGGTAGGGGGTGGGCTGCTGATGTCCCACCAATTCCCTTGGCTCACAAAAGCACCCACTCTCTACTGCTTGGCTGCTGCTTGCTCACAGCTGTCCCTTCTAGAATGCCTGGGGACTAAGAAGCATGGAGCATAGCTTCCTCACAGGGGCAGCCCCAGCTCAAGATGGCCTGTCACAGGTGAAAGAAGTACTGTCCTGCAACCAGTGGAATGACATCGCAAGGGCTGGCCATGCCACCTGAGCCCTAGGCAGAGGCCCAACTCCTGTGTTGCCTTTCTACACAGCCTTTTCAAGTCTTGTCCGCTCCCCTGCCCCCCACCACAGTTTCCTCAAAAGCCCTCCCTCCATCATCCACTGCTTAATAATCCCCAACTCAAG